CCACTCTACTATAGTTTTCTCTTAATTTCTACTCTTTTTATTTTGATTTTAATTTGAAAATTATAATTGTGATATTGTGACAACATGGTTGCTTTTATGGTTTTCATGATGACTATGCTTATGGATTTGAGCATGTGCGGCTAGATTTCTAACTAAGGCCTTGATGTAGCTAGCTTGAACTATGTTGTGAATATTTAGTTGCTTTTTAATGAAATCTTGACTCAATTATTTGTGTTTCTCTTGAACTTAATGCGTCTAGTTGATTGGAAAGACTTGTTTCTTTGATACTTTGGTTGATGCTCGGGAGAGTTTAGTTCGAATATCAGTATGGGGAAGCACAATCTAATGTTGTTATGAGACCAGGAGGTGATCAACACGTAGGTAATCGTTATGAGAATCTTGGTAATTGTGAGACCGAAAGGTGATCAAATGCTTAGATAATCATTGAAAGGTTGAGCTTAATGAATGTGTTTATACCCATGTTAGATAGGAATATTGGCTTGTTTATTTGAACATATTGTCTTACTTGACACCTGGGAGAGGTAGTGAGACTAATTTAGAATGTTTAGATTAATGAATTAAGTTAAATTAATTAGCAACCACTAAATAAGAAGACATAGGGAGAGCGAAGCGAAGTCAAGACCCTAGAACTCTATTATTATTTTTATTTCCACTCATAGTTTCGATATTTAATTACTCAATTTTAGTTGCCTAAATAAAATTTAGTCACGATCACTCACGGTACTTAGTTTAATTCTTGAAAAATCAATTGTTATAGGACGATATTTGACTTTTTAGTCACTTTATTAGTTTTGCGACCTGTGCACTTTTAGAAAATTTTGTAACAACCATATATATGTTGGTTTTGAAAACGATTTCTATGCGGAAGCACATGTTTAGCGGATCGTGTATAACACAATTTTTTAACAAACATTTGAGATACTTTATAAAATACATTAATTTATGCACGACTAAAGTATCATAATGTGAGCCCCAACGTGTGTCACCTAAACGTTTGAGAGCAGTTTCTTGATTTATGCCTCGTCCACTTGAGATATCATTATTCTTGATTGCTTTAGCAATGATGGCCTTTTGTTTGTCTCAAAAAATATCACAGCATTTTGGTGGAGCTCCAACAACATGTACTACAATAGTAACCGTTACACCACGGTCGAGGGATTGACCGTTCTTTTAGGTGACAAGCGCCGAAGTCTCCCTGTTGATGATCGGTCATTGATGCCGAGGCAACCAGTGTGTCCAGAGTGCTCTTTATACGTCGAGGATTCGCGTATGCCAATGCACGTCGAGAGCCCGCCCAGGTGGCGAGGGCCACGACATCGAGGCAGCAGCCCGGTCAAATCCGCTGTTAGTCCAGGGAAAGAGACACTGTATCAACTACCGCCACTGTTGAGGTTAGGAAATCAGGTATTGGGTAAGAGTGGTTAGCCTGACCGGGAAGCAGAAATCATAGAAATCTAGTTGCCAAATCCCCAACTTAAGGGATAGAGGATGATCTCCTCGGGAAATGCATGGGGTCTCTCACATGTATAAGGCCTATAAATAGAGCCATGGGATTTTCATTGAGTTTTTTACGCACACTACTATACTACTCCAGAGAGAGTTTGTAATCAGAAAGCATTAGTGCATTTACAAGTGGATTAGGTAAAAAAATTGAGCCGAACCACTATAAATTCTTGTCTCATTTACTTATTCAGCATCACTAACTCCAAATTAACACGTGAGAGATTATTGCGAGTGTTCTCGGAGAGTTAATTCCTTGTTGACTGAAATCCACCATCAATAGTAACTGAGTTTAAAAGCTATAAAACTTAAATATGTTTCTTTGCCACAGCTACAAGAGCAAGTTTAAGTTGATGAGCAAAACAATGAACATAAAAAGCATAGGGATTTTCCTTTTTAAGACTGTTAAACTCTCCTTGCATATTACTTGCCCCATCATAACCTTGTCCCCGTAATCTGGATATGCTTTAATTTGTTTCTAGAAAACAATTTATTCAATAGCAGCTTTTAGCGACAAAGCTGTGGTACTAGCAAAATGTTCTATCCCTACAAAACGTTCAATCACATGCCCATTCTTATCTACATAACGCAATACAACAGTCATCTGCTCCTTTTGTTGAATTATCTCTTGATTCATCAACTAGAATAAAGAACATTACATCATCAATATCTTTCATGATAACATTAATAATTTCAGCCACTGAAGCACTCACAATATCTTTTTGAAAATCAGGTGATGTTAATTTCAAATTTCCAGGAGCATTTCCTAATGTAATAGCTTTGACATCATCGTTGGGATCAGCTAAAAACTGTAGAAGTTCAAGAAAGTTACCTTGATTGCATGAATTTTTAGATTCATCATCACCACGAAAAGCAAGGCTTTGCCGCAAAAGAAATCGAGCACAATCAGCTGATGCATTCAAGCGGTGTCGATAATCACTTCTCGACTTTTCTGATTCCTTTAAGAAAAATCCTTCAAGATATTGTTTTTTCACTCTTCAAGACTTCAAACGTCCTCCAAGCTTGGTTATGATCACTATAAGGCCCTCCAACATGCATATGAATTCTATCATTCTTTTTAAAAAGATAACAACACAAATAAAATACGTCGTTTTTTGCAACGCTATATTCTAACTAATTAGGAAATTCTTCAAACCAATCTTTGTTGAATTTTCTTGATTGTTTCCCAAATTTGGTCAATGGAAATTTATGGTCTGTAGGTTGATAAGGACCTCTTTGCGCATACAGTCGTCGAACTTGATCACGGATGTTCAGACCATACTCTAAAATTGGAATTCACAACCCAGGATCAGTTGGTAGTTCTTTAGGATCAAAATCCAACTTACTTGATTTAGCACTCTTGCCATTTTTTCCCGTAGGAATTTCAGAGTCCTTTGACAAACTTTTAGAATACCTCTTCATACCTGTTCAATAAATTGTCACCTAAATATTAGAAATTCATGTTGAAGTTTTTATTTTTTATTTTTTCATACACTAGGGATGAAATCAGTGAACATTATGAGTGTACGGTTTTTGACTAATCAAATCTTTTCCTCTAAAAGAAGTAATCATATTCTATTCTCTAAAATATAATAGTAATAACAATTCAACAATTCTCTTTCAAAGTTCAATAATTAACCATTATAATTCAAAAGTAATCACATTATACCCTCTAAAATACAATAGTAATAACAATCTATCAATTTGTATCTTTAAAAAATTCAACTCTGAACCATTATAATTCAACCAATAAAATAATTATAAAAATGAGTACACAAAGAAAAACTATTGAGAAAATTACCTATATGAAGGTCGGAGGTACATCAGCAGTCCAAAGAGTCTTGGACTTGGTCCCCTTGAAAGACTTGGACAACGAGACAAAAGGGCTTGTTTGTTTTCGTTTCCGTTTCCATTTTTCACAGTTTTTGAGAACGAAAAACGAAAACGCGTAATGAAAACGTGTTTGGCGTAAAATTTTCCAAAACTTAAAAACAAAAACGATATTGTCCTTATCTGAAAATCTGAAAACGATTTATTTCCGTTTTCATTATTCCGTTTTCGTTTTCTCTCTTCAGCTCTGTGACCATCTGCGACTGCCCACCCTCCCCTGCCGCTTCTGCGAATACGATTATTTAATAATATTATTTATTTAATATATTATTAATTTAAATATTATTACATGTTTTTAAAAATTAAACTACCAAACACAATTTCAGTTTTTTTTTAAACTGAAAACAATCTCAGAATAAAACTACCAAACGCATTTTCAGAAATGATTCAAAAATAAAAATAAAAACGTTTTCATTTTCATTTTTATACAAAAAATAAAAACGTTTTGAAACCAATTCCAAACGCATCCAAAAGTGCCGTGAGTCAGTTTCCTCTTTCAATTGTATAAAGACAATGGTGTTAAGAGACCAGAGAATCAAGACTCAAGTGTGCTTTTTAGTCTCTCATTGCTGATGCTTGATATTGAAATTGAATCAGCCAAATGGGGGGAGAAGTAGAAAAGTCATAGAAATTGGACAGCTACTTAGGGAAATGATTACCGTGTTTGGAATTATTCTTATTTTTATTTTTTACATTTTTTGAGAAAAAAATAAAAACGATTCTAAAACGGTAGTTGGTATAATTAAAGACAAAAAATAGAAATAAAAATGATTTTTTAGTTTAGTGTTAAATGAGAGAGAAATAAAAAATAATTTTTAATAATTTTTCATTTTTTGGTTTCGTTTTCTCTTCTCTGGAGTAGAGAGATATACATTAATGAGTTTTTTATACATAAAATAATCTCTTGATAAAACTGCCAAACGCATTTTAAGAAATGATTTCTATCTAAAATTGAAAACGTTCTCATTTCTATTTCTATATAAAAAATAAAATATTTTAAAATGAGTTATAAACGCATGTTTTTCATTTTTCATTTTTTTCTTTTAAGTAATATAAAATGCCTTTGAAACATTAGAGGGCCACTTTCACAATTATTGGGCTATTAGAAAAAAGGGCTTTTGGTTACCGAAAGAGGACTTCACTGGGGCTTATTAATTATTTAATACTATTGTAATATTGTACCTGATTGTAAATATAATATTTAAAAGGAAATTTTTTTTGAGTGAAGCCCCAATGAGCAAGCTGTCCCTCCGTCCCTGCAGACAAGAGCAGCCTTCATTCCTTCCTGTTCACCTAATATTCGATTTCCAGCGGTAATTAATATCTTTTTTTTTTTTTTTTTTTTTTTTTTTTTTTTTTTTTTTTATTAAGGTCCCCGCCCCCCCTTTTTTTTTCCGGGGGTTAATTTTTTTTTTTTTTTTTTTTTTTTTTTTTTTTTTTTTTTTTTTTGTTAATCAAGGTCCAGGCCTCACCTTGTGTTGACTGTTTCTTTTACGTGTTCACTTTGAAAGTCTTTTTTTTCTCGTCGGCGGAAAAAGAGTTTAGAAGATTTTTTAAGATAGTCTATAAATGAGTATATTTTGCCATTGCTTCAAGATAGTCTCCCTTGAACTAGACTTAGAAATATTTTGTCAGTCATCAAGGATATGTAAGATATTCACCACTCCAATAACAACTTTGTCCTCCAAATCATATTTTTCCCTTGCAATATTTTTTGATTCTCATATATGTAAGGCTTGATTTCCATAATAAGCTCTTTATGGAAGGGCTTGTTTGTTGGGTTAGACAGAAGGTAGAAAAGCTGAGACAGAGCAGCTGCTTCCAAAGCAAGTCAGGTACATATGGCTTTATCATTTCTGATCATCATATGAGAATATTTAATTTGATGTGAAGTGTCTTATAAATATACTTCTCCATTGAGAAACAATACACTCATTTGTAGATATTCAAATTGTTTCATAGATCCATATGAGAAAGAAAGAAAGAAATTGCTTTTAGAGAGAGGTAGCCTGCTATTAAAGGAAATGATAACTTCTTGCAAAGATAAATGCCGGTGTAACCCTATTCGAAGCATCTCGGCAAGAGAAGTTCTCGAAGCGACGAATAATTTTGATTCACATTTCCATGATTCTTTCTATTACAAGTGGTACAAGTGTACTCTTGATGATCGGCCGGTTCTACTAAAAAAATACGAGCTCGATTTTGAGAATATAGCATATCGTGACATCGTGATAAGTTCACAGATGAGCAGCAACAAAAATGTTCTTAGGCTGCTGGGATGCTGCTTGGAATTCTCAGGTCCAATATTGGTTTATGAGTATGCACCCTATGGGGCTCTCGACAGCGTAGTTCCTTCATTATCCTGGAAAATGAGGCTGAAAGCTGCGAAAGATATTGCGAATGTGATAACGTACCTCCATGTCGCATTTCCGAGGCCAATTATCTATAGGGATATGGATCCTTCAAATATTTTTCTGGACAAGGATTTTGCTCCTAAATTGTGTAATTTTGGTTTCTCCATTTCAATTCCTGAAGGTGAAAGTCATGTTGAAGATATAGTAATAGGGCGTTTGGGGTTTGCAGAACCTGATTATGTCCGCACAGGGTTTATTACCGAGCATATTGACGTTTATAGCTTTGGGGTTTTTCTTCTCGCCCTTCTAACTGGACAAAAAGCTATTGATGAAAGTAGACCTGAAGGTAATGAAATTATCGGAAAATATGTGTCATACTTGTTGAAAGATGAACAGTTTAGTGAAATTGTTGATCCTAAGATTTCAGAAGAGGATGGAGGAATCTATGAAGAGAAGCAGCTTCAATTGGCAGCTTTTTTAAAACTGGCGTTGAGATGCATTGAAGATAGAAGAGAAGATAGGCCACACATGATTGATGTGGCAAAAGAACTCGTCAAGATTGAGAGGTTCACATCTTAAAAGTTTTTCTAAATTAGACTTCCTCGTGTGTTTGTATTCAGTTTCTGGTTTATGACTTGTTTTATACCATAGGCTTTGTTTGAGATCATGTATGACAACTTATGACATAATCTTATTCACCAAAAAAAAAAAAAAAAAAGAGTTTTTGATTGAAAGTCAATTTCTTTTGACAAGTAACATGAAATGTGCCATTGGAGCGTTTTCCTTGTATTTTTTTTTAATTAAAAGTCAATTTCCTTTAATAAGTGACATCGAAATCGTGTCAATGTATCATTTTTTCCGTATTTTTGGTTAGAAGTCAATTTCTTAAGTGACAGTTTAATCGTGCCAGTATTTCATTTTCTAACTCGGGCTTTGTTTGGGATGTATGAAACGATTGGAATATGGAGCAACATAATCTGTCTATTTTAATAACCTCATTTTAAAAACTGACTATTTTCTCCATATATACTTTCCTTGCTTTGGATTCAGACAATACTTGCTAATCAAGGTTTGATGAGGAAACGAAAGCGTCCATCGTTTTTGCCTTCATGGAAGTATGAGTTGCGTTATATGCTCAATCTTTAATAGTAGAGATAAGTCACGGATAGATTTTCTCGTCCACACTAATATTATGATTTTTTTCTATTTTTCTAATTTAATTGTTTGTGGTACCTGTTTGTCCATGTTTCTATATTATGATATGTTGTTCATTATCATACGCCAAATCAAAAGCGGTAAGGATACCCATGAAATAGCCTCATGATATTCTAGTCATGAATAATATGATATTCATGCGACGTGAGAGAGAAAGAGAGAATTGATAGAGATTCGACATATTTATGTAATATGTTCTGCCATATAACTATTTATAGTCACACTTATTATAAAGAAAACATACATAAAATATAAAAAATATCTCTCTTATTATTTACCAGAGAGTAAAATACCTGATTATTCAATCTATCAACATATAGGCAATATTCTATAATATTTCCAAAAAGATAGTTTCTCTTTTCACGTCTCATGGACTTAATACCAAATAAAATTTGAGGATTGACCTCTCAGCTTTGCACTATTATGAACGCATTAACTTCCAACATTATTTTTATATTTTACACAAACACTGCCAACAAAAACTCTAACCGATCTCATTTAAATATTATAAAGTTGTTATTCCTTTCATTGATTAGCATAAAGCTTTTGTTGTTCGATTTTGATGGGGAATATTATTATAAATTAGCAACTCTTATAGAAATGAGTATATTTGCACAACGTATACAAATTTGTTTACAAAATGTCAAAAGTGATTATGATTTGACTCACTCAGAATTAGTATTTAGTTTGAATGATTTTGATTTAAAATTTAAATCATGACGTGATGTTTTAAATCAGAATCACTTTTTCTAAAATCATTCTTAATTTTAAGTGGTTCACACCTCTAATTTTAATTTTAAAACTATAATTTAGACTTAAAATTATAAATCATAATTTACATTCAAAAATTAAAATTAAAATCACTTTAATTTAAATTCTTATACTAAATGAAGCCTTCTCTCCAGCGTACCATTTGCAGAGGCTCCAAACCTCAGCCCTCAACTTTAAGGCCTGAGACTGGCACGTGTTCTAACGATGTAGGAGCCCTCAACATTTGCTGCGTTTGTCGCTAACCCATGATGCGATTTTTATGGGTCGCATTTCTGTCACCGTAAGCAAACATGATTTCGATGTTGATGGTGTTTAGTATTTCACAAATACTGTTGTGATTGTTAGTGATTTTCTAATCTATCGAAAAAATTTTGTGGTAGCACGGTAGACTACCGTTGGATGTCGAAATTTTCAATATCATTGTTGACTAATCTATATTATGGTAGGCGTCATAAGGATATAATTTTTTGTATTTTGACGAAGGGTTAAACTTGACAAGTTGTTCGCCGTGTGCATGCCACGTGACTCAACTAGTTAAAAACAAAAAAGCTACAATGCGGCAAGTGGCAACTGTCACGTGGTGAGGAAGAGTGGACGAAAAAAACCCAACTATTTTTGGTGTAGAGCCTTAACTTGGGCTCTCTAAGTTTAGCCCATCTTGACTCTCAAACAGCACTATCCGGCCAGCCTCAAAATTGGAAGGCCTGGTCAGTGTAAGGGCCATAAGAGATTATTGGGCCAGGCTTACAAGCCCATTAGTTACTATTGATTTCTACGTGAGGGTGTACATCCGCGCAGAAGGTAATTGCTGGATCCGCATGCCAATTACAATTATGGGTATGTGCAATTTGCAAAAACAACTGCAAAAGAGTGGCTTGCCATGGAACAATTATATTATGCACCAATGGTGTTCAACACCGTCTACTAATAAAACGTGAATCCCATAGCATTTATACACCAATAGTATTCAACACCGTCTACTAATAAAACGTGAATCCCGCGGTATGAGATTCACAGGTGAAACTAACTTTTTATAGTAATGAATTTTGGCATCGGTGGAGTCCCCGAGCATTTTTTCTTGTCATGACTTGTTTTTTTTTTTTTTTTTTTTTTTTTTTGTTTTTTTTTTTTTTTCTATTTTTTTTTTTTTTTTTTTTTTTTTTTTGGGTTAAAGTAACTTGTTATGACTTTAATCAAGTTACTTCGAACTACAAGGTGTACCGAAAGCTGTTCAAGTCATTCCATTGAAGGGTTTTGGTAGTTGAAATTTTCTCAAGGAAGACTTTGCTTGACTTGCAAAACAGCTGTTTCCAGTCTTAAACAACATCACTGTCTTCAAGAGAAATGGGAGAAAAGAAAGGCGGAAAATTAAAAGGGAAAAAATAGGTACAAAAAAGAAGTTGTTGGGGGGATTTGCCGCAATGTGGTAATTACACAAGACTAGGAAAGGAGGAGTAAATAAGAAGATGATGCATGCACTAACACGACCAACATAGATTGTGGGGACTGTGGCCGCACTTTGATGTTGAGAGTAATTGACTACTAAATTACTTTATTGTCGGCAGAGCTTAAAGATTCTATGTGGTGGCCTTTGGCCCATCAAATATCCATAAAAGTCAATATTTTCGGCCATTAAGTTTCACGGTTGGTTTTTATAGGGCGGAAATGGAATTAAGCATTAATCTTTTCACAATTGTCTTGAGAAATTGATTTGTAAATTGAATTTTATTATGAGAAAATATTATAGTAAAAAAATTAAATTTAAATTTTTATGAGAAAATATTTTAGTAAAAGAATTTGAGTTAGTGATTTGAGTTGTAAAAAGTACTAAACAAATGGCTTGTAAATCTTTTTTCAAGGTATCTTTTTGACGCTCGATTTGAAGCAGGACTCACTTCGTACGGTTCAATTTAGAGTTGTGTTCTCCGTCTTGAAGAGATCAAAATGATATATTGTATGCTTAAAATAATTACCAGGTGAATGATAAATTGATTCTCAAAGTACTTTTACAGAGCTGAAAAAAAACTAAAGGAAAAACTTCTAAAAATTTAAGAAGTCTATTGTCACACAACAAAAAGAGACGAAACCATTATCAAACCCTATAAAAGAAACCCCACTCCTCATTTAACACAAATCAAAAAAGTATTTTTTAGTTAAAATATTTTAATTTTCTTCTACAGTTTCATTTATATTGTTATAATCGCGTTGTCATATTTTTAGCTATTCTGTTCATTTCTATTTTATATTTTGCCGACTAATCTTAAAGCAAATTCTTTCAAGGCGAACAGGTTACTGGACTTGGAGAAAAAATGATTTAACCTGTTGCATCTTTTAATTATTTTTGTTAAGAGTTTAAATAGGCTTCTGATTTTTCATTCCGTTTTTAATCTTAGCATGTATGAAAACGACAAAGACCCTTTTTTCTCCATACTTTTTCTTTAACCAATTATCAACTTCTTCTTTTTTTTTTTTTTTTTTTTTTTTTTTTTTTTTTTTTTTTTTTTTTTTTTTCACTTGTTTTGTTTAATACTTTTCACTTTTTATGATTTCTAATTTCTTTTTTGCTTTTTTATTTTTTATTTTTTATTTTTGCCAAATGTTACTTTGCAACTTTTTTTTTTTTTTTAAGATGTACTCTCTCTTAGTACCTTTCTTCTCGCTTTACCCCAATTGCAATAATTTTTCTTATGTCTTCCTACTTATTTTTTTTGTTTATTTTTTCCTTTTTAACAAAGACTAATATAGAGTTTAATTCCTTTTTAATGTGTCCCTACTTGATAATTTTTCTTCTAATCCTTATTATATTAAAAGTGATCACTTTTTTTATTGGCCTAATAAAACAATTTTTTCTAATTTGCATCTATGCATATTCATAAATATTTTTGTATGCATCCCTTACAACTAGTACATTAAGATTAAAACATTTTCTCTAATTTAATGTTTTTATAGGCCTAATTTCTATACATGCCCCCATTTGCATTCTTTTCCGATGCAGCCCTATCAAACTACCACTTTTCATGTGTTCCTCCTAATTAATTCTATACCTGATTTGTCTGTTAAAATATTTCTTCATGCATGTTCTACTTGTATACATGTAATATTAAAGTTAAACACTCTTTTTAAGTGATACATCTATGTTATAAACCATGTTAAAGAGGACATTTTGAGGCTAAATTTTGAGTGGGGTCCATTTGGTCTTTGTGGAAGATCGAAATAGGTTCGAGTTCTTCTCCGTGAGATTTTTGAAATATTATATTAGATGCTCAAAACAGTATTTGGGTGAATGAAAAATTGATGTTCAAAGTGCACCTAATGATTTGAATAATATTAAAGAAATAAGAGGAAAAATCCTTGTCCAACATGGGAAATTAAAGAAATTAAGGCCAAATGATGTTTATATAGGATTGCACGTTTGCTATGTGCAAGCTAGTAAGCAAATAGGCTCTCTCACACGCGCGAAGGGGTACAAGTCCCAGATTGACGATGGACGATCCAAAAGACTTGTTACGGGCACGAACGTCGCTTCAAAAGGCCAATCTTGCACGGCTTGGTTTTACCGCTCTCTTTATTTTCTCCAGCTCAAATTTAAGGTCCGTTTAGCTCGTTGATTCAAATTTGTTATTGAAGCCTCAGAGTTAAAGGTGCTTCATAATTCTTCTTAATTTCTCCAAAAATGCTCTTTCTTATGACAATAGCAACACTTAATATCTTTTTCTGGATGAGATTAGGAACAATCATCTCTCTTATTATAACATCTCTCG